TCCATCTCTTGCAATTCAATTCATCTTCTGTCCATTAGATATTCCATCTCTTGCAATTCAATTCATCTTCTGTCCATTAAATATTCCATCTCTTGCAATTCAATTCATTTCTGTCCATTAAATATTCCATCTCTTGCAATTCAATTCATTTTCTGTCCATTAAATATTCCATCTCTTGCAATTCAATTACTAATTTCTAAAATTATTTCATATTTACTGTTGGTCCATTGTCGTTCCTCATTCTCCTGACCATATTCAGGTCTTTCCAAAACGTCTAAGTTGTTTTAGTATTTTCTACTTCATCCCAGATCTTACTCTTTTCTTTCCGAAATAACTGCTACAATTCCGTTTTTCTTTTAACATATTCTTATCTTATTGTTTTCTGCCATTCCTTAAATTTTTTCAAATTGTTTCTTTATTTCATTCTTTAGATTATTGTTAAAACCACTCATTTCCTTTTTTCATTAGACTATTCCTACCCTATCTACTGTAATTTTTGAAGCCATATTTTCCAAAACCTTGTCCTAACATTCTTTATCTATTGCTATTTTTTCTCGTATGCTCTTACTTCTTTCAAAACATTTTTCCTTTATTCTCTTTCCAATTTCAAGTTGTACATTTTCATATTTCCTCCTCTTCCTTTCTCCACTGTAATTGGCATATGATTCTATCATATTTTATAGCTTCATCCACTTAATTGCTAGTTCTGGTTCTTTTTTTCTTTGAATTACATAATTCACAACCATTTCTATTGCTTCTATATACATACATTTTCCTTCCTTGTCCCTTCCCACTTTTTCATTCAATAACATGAATCGCCAGGTTCTCAAAATTCTATATTTTTCTCACCTTCTCTATTAAATTCTTTATTCTATAATTTTCTACACCCTTCTATGCATAACCCATACCTTTGTCTTCTTCCACATGTTCTTTTCCAATCCTTAAATTTGTAACACTACTCAGTATTGTCTCTTTCTTCTTCTAACTTTACCTCAGTTTCCTCAATCACAACTCTACTCAATGATAATTACACACACCAAAATAATTACTCCAATTTCAGACCTGCTAACAATAAATTTTGAAAAATAGTAATTCCTAACAGGACAAGGGGAAAATAGCATAAAATGTAAACAGAAATGGCATCACTACTGATTATGTTATATTTAATACTTACTAATTACTGTGTACTACTAATTAAGAGCCCTGTATGCAGCATTCTTGGCTTTGTTTAGAAAATCATCTGCAAATCCTTGGGAGAAACATGGTTTTTGTACCATCCCTATCTTCTTTCTCAGCAGTGATTCTAAGTTGAAGTTTGACACTGATCCTTGAAAGTCTGTCCTTTTTTTGCGAACAAGCGAGTAAACCTTCTTAACAACCTGCACTGCTGTGTGGTATTACTAAGAAAGACTTCATTACTCTGGAGAGTTCATCATATTTAAAGTTGCCCAGCTCATGTTTCATTTTTCCAATTCTATACCAACACTTGACTATTGTCTCACTGAGATCTACATCAGTCAGTGGATCAGCCTGGTAGATGAGATGTTACTGCTGAAGACAATTCATTGTACTGGCACAAAGTGCATCCCATGCCATGAATAGCTTGACTTTTCCAATAAAGTACTGAGATCTACATCAGTCAATGGATCAGCCTTGTAGATTAGATGTTACTGTTGAAGACAATTCATTGTACTGGCCCAAAGTGCATCCTTTGCCAGGAATTGCTTGACTTTTCCAATAAAGTACTCTACCGATTCCAAAGAATAACTTTTTCTGACAGATATGTCTGCTACTTCTGTATGTTTTTAAAGTTGTATCCTGAAGTAGGAACCTGGTCTTCATATATTCCAATGTAGTTTTATAGCAATTTCTTGTATATTCATATAAAGAGAGCTGGCTTCTTTTGTCAAGCTTTGCAAGGAAAGGCTCAATTTTATAATCAATAACTAAGTTCTCGTTTTTAATTGAATTTTTCTGTCTTTGAAATTCAATTCCAAAATATTTGAACAATTCAAAGTTGCATGTGGTGTCACAAGTCTGCTTAATAAATCACTGAATAAAGCAAACAAGATTTTCTGCAAGCAATGGATGAGTGGGTCCTCAAACTGTAGTTTCAAATTATACTTGTCAAAGCTTTGAATTCAGTTGTTCAGAAATAATGCATACACATCTACTTGATGTAACTTGTAAAGTCTTTCCTCTTGCAAATAAGTGTTTCCTGGTGATTTGGTGTCAGGTGTGTCCTGTAACTTTCAATATTTTGTCTGCTACTTTCTTAGAAAAACCATCCATAGCATTTCCAGATCCCTACGCAGAAAACACACTGACAGACTGTCTCTGCTTGGAAGTTTTATCTTTGAATTTTTAAAAACAATCACTTTTTTCTCCAATGATACCTCTGATCTGCATAGAACATACTTTGTCTTCATGAGTTGTTTTTTTCTTTTCATCATATTTGGCTACTGTTTTTATTTAAAACTTATCATGATTGCAATTTGAAATAATTAAGTAGCTAGTTAACCAATTTCTTTATGTATGTTATTTATATATGAAAAACACAAAATTAATATTCAATAAAAATAATTAAAGTTATAAGAATATCTTGTAGTTGCCTATCATACTCACTAAACAGCAAACTTAACTAATATCTTGTGGTTGCCTACCATAGTCACTAAACACCAAACTTAACTAATATCTTGTAGTTGTCTACCATACTCACTAAACACCAACTACAAGATATTAGTTAAGTTTAAGTATGGTAGGCAACTACAAGATATTAGTTAAGTTTGCTGTTTAGTGAGTATGGTAGGCAACTACAAGATATTAGTTAAGTTTGCTGTTTATTGAGTATGGTAGGCAACTACAAGATATTAGTTAAGTTTGGTGTTTAGTGAGTATGGTAGAACTAAACAGCAAACTTAGCTAATCAGACTTGATGATGATCTTATTTTACTTGATGAACAAAATAAAAAACAAATGTTCACAAACATTGCAACTCAATGAAACCACTGTCATGACACAAGGTTTTAGTCTTACATTCAAAATTTTATTAAATTACTTTTTGTTTATGTTATACCAATTAGAAAAGCATAAAATCTCAGCTAATAATCCATATTTTAGAAAATCCGGAATTTCCACTAGTGTGACCCACGTGACATTTTCTCTTAGAATGTCATCATCAATATTTTATCCACCACCCCCCGAAAAAGTATGAAATTAAATGTAAAATACTGTCTATAAAGTTGTTATTGTTCAAACAAACCATTATTTTTATAGCATTTAATTTTGTTTGGTTGTAAGATACAGTCACATTTCAATTATTATACGTTACATATGTATACAGATTATTGCTATTTTGAAATAAGTTCTTAAAACATAGAACAGTAAATAAAGAAGTAAAGCAAACAATTATATCTTCTAGTTATGACCTTTGCACTCGATTGCATAGGTTGCTAAGCCTTTAGAAATTTTGCACGTCAAGGATATGAAAATATCATTAACCTAATATAATTAGGTTAAAGTAGCTTGTATAGACACAGGAGTATACATAACAGTACAAAGTTGCATGACTGGAGATTGCTCAAGGTTCAATGAAAGTATCTTGTTGGTGTTTGATTCTTTGTTTATAATAATGATGTTTTACTTGTTCATAGTTATACTATTGTTTTACTGAGTTGCAATGTTTGTAAACTTGAGTTTTTTTATATTTATTTTGTACACCAAATAAAATAATCAAAACAGATAAATTCAAACAACATACATAAATTATTCCCTAACTTCCTACTTAATTATTTGTAATTGTAATCATGATAAGTTTTAAATAAAAACATTATTACTCTTATTGTGAAAGTAAAATGTTTTCATTATTTAATTATCAACTTATTTGATCTACGGAAGATCAATGTGGGATTACTGCATACTTGAAAAACAAACAATGGTGACTGACTGCATATGGTGGTACATAGTCTACATTAGAGATTCATCTACCACGTGAAAAATGCCCATAAACCTTGTGAGAATTTTGTTTATTTTTTTGTAAGTATATCTTCATATATGATAAAGTAATAATTAAGAAAATTTAATAAAAAACCATATCAATACAAATGTAAATTAATTCTAAATTAGAATAATACACTGGTTGAAAAAGTTAAGATGGTAAGCACATCCCCACTTTTTCTATTCCAGGTTGTACTTGCTGATTAGCTGAGACCATAAATTAATCAGTTAACTAATACCACTAATCACCCGGCTCTAATTTTCACTTATTTCAAAATGATAAAACTCTATAACATGAGCACTTTCAAAAGGTGACCTTTCTTCTTCAGGGGCAAACTTATTTCAGAGATCCTCAGTACAAAAAATATCATTCTCACCAGAATTATAAGTTATATATATGTAGAGTAGATACAGCAGATATTAAAAACAAACTTAAAACACAAAACATGTAACAATGTTTCGACCTCCTTAAGTCATCATCAGTTTAAGAATAACTTTTGAATCAAAAGTGACCGAATGGCTTGTCCATAGCCTTCACACTCAATTCCACTGTTCTTCTCTGAAGGAGCTACATCTAATTATTTAATTGGGAAACAATAAATTACTTAACCCAATTTTACAATGTATTAAATATTTTATAATCTGGTATATACAATGGTACTTAAACTTTGACTTTAGTTATGTTCAATGCTGTTCTTTATTAATAATTGTACCCACTCTTTTATGACCTCTAGGCATTTGATGTGAACACAGGCCTGTAATATTAAATCTTTGGATACAAAATAAAAAGTCACGAGAGAAACAAGACACGGTTAATTGTATTCTCTTACAAAATAATAACCTATGCTTGGCATAGGCAGAAAAGTTCTAAAAACATAGATAAGTGAATTGTTTATGGTTAAGACTCATCAAAGCTGTGAAGAAATGTAAATTTGAACATGTTTTACATATTTCTTCACAATATAAATATAACAAACCCACGAGAAAAACTTCTCATTACTTACTTTCCATCCAAAGCTCGAGTGGCATCTCTTGCATCTCTTGGATCTTCAAATTCTACAAAGGCAAATCCAGGAGGATTTCTTGCCACCCAAACGCTTCTCAAAGGACCATAATATCCAAAGGCTTCTTCCAACTCGTGCTTTGACCCATTATTTCCAAGTTCACCAACATACACTTTACAATCCAAAGGGGCACTATCTCTGTATCTCCCCGACATGACAACAGTATAATCTGCCAGAAAATTAAAGAATCTTACAAATTTATTATTTAACTTTAATTAATCTATGAGACAAATATTCTCTGATACTATAGTTAAGTTTTCTGATTACATCTCAAAGAAAAACGGAAAAGAAAGGATCAGCTCACGAATTAATATTTTTTGTCCTTCCTGTCAAACTTAAATTTAAAATTAATAATTTACCTTTGAACAACTATCACAGAAGTCTCCAAACAACATATATACTCTAATGGATGATTCTACTGACAATGTTAAAACTCAAATGAATGGCATTATTTTAATTTCAGTATTAATTTTCATATGGTAGTAGTGCTGGCTGTTAAGGGAAATTGTAGTTATAATGCAAAAATTAGACTATGATAACTAAAATACAGACTACTTTGAATATCACATTAAAGTAATTAACTAAAGTCAGATCCACAAAAAACTAACAAAAATAAAGTGCAGAGATGTTTATTAAAACATGTACAAGGTAATTTACTGACACAAAATGAATATTTTAATATTGGCTGTCAACTAGGTATTTTACATGTTGGTCTAAAAGCACAAAAAATACTGTTATTTTAAACATACTGAACAGTTTATACATATGAATATATACCCTTAAAAGATTTTTTTATTATGAAATGCAAACTTAGAATTTAATAAGGTTAATTGTATAAGCTTTTATTTCAAAGAAATCTTACAAGTTTCTACACATCTTCCATATATTATTAAAATAAGTATATCTTCAAAACTAGAGATATTTGGTACAAAATGTTCTATATTCAGCAAATTTATGCTGTGGTTTTGGAATCAAGATTGTCACCATTATTCAACATTCTGTTGCTCTGTTTCATGAAAAACAATGATTTAAAGATCCTGAATTTTAAGCCTACACACTACTGCTGGTATTATGATGATAGTCATCATCATTAATGGTTGTCAACAAGCCAGTTAGTTTTTGAAGTACCCAAAAAGCAATACGATGCCACAGAATTTACGGTGAAGCATCAGTATGATCTTAAGCTTACTTATGTATCTTAAATCATAATGGTAATAGAAAATTTAAGTATGAAATTTATTATAAAGACATTTAATGATAGAACTTGGCAATTAACTCGTGCTAAAAACTCAAAAATTCACTTGATTAATATGTAAGGTCAAAAAAAGAGCATATTGAAAAATTTCATGAAACTAAAGTAAGGACAAACATGAGAGGATCAAAATATTATATTAAACACACCCAGATTTCTTCATTTTATGAAATAAAATAACAGCTGTTATGTCAAATAATGGAAATTACAACTGAATTGATTAGTCACAAAATTAATCAACTAATCTAAATTAGTATCTTCAATTCTTATTATATTCAATTATTCCAACTATTCAAGTTTCATGAGAATAATTGTTGAATAAATTTGAGTTATAACTATAAAAATTAAAATACAAAGCAGCAAATAGAGCTGGGCAATTAGTGGAATTTGGTAATTAATCAATTACATTTAACTAATGAAAACTCATTAAAACCTTAATTCATGAAGTTTATAAAAGAACCAAACAAATTTGAAAACAGTATTCAACCTTCTTCCTATCAATAATCCCATATGGTAGCTTTACTTATTTTAGCTATCAGCCATTTTTATGTTTTGAGTGATGTCATTTTACTCATGGTAGAATAAGGTTTTAAAGCTTACATTTTTAGAAATTTTTGTAAAAGTTAGGCTCACCAACTTGCATTTTCCCCATACTTTTTGAAAATGTTACATATTAGTTATAGAGACATTTAGTGTACTTTCTATTGATATGCACAACACTTGTAGCAAGCTATCTTAAGTGTGAAAAACATTCCACACGGGAAAGTTGACAGCTTATATGCAGAAAGTTAACACAACAAGAGTGAATGAAAGTTTTAATACATTCTGTGGTTTATCTTGGCACTAAAAATAATTGTTATTGCTTTTGAGCTTGTGGCTCAGTTAGTGGAAATAAATGAAGAAAACTAAGTTACAGTGATAATACAAAAGGCTTAAGTAACTGACTGATATGAATCTGTACATTCAAATTCAACCAATCAAGAGATCAATCACTGACAGTCAATTTTCTTATTTTTTTGTATTTAAGGTCAGCATATGAATAAATAAATCTCTACTATTTTGTTTGAAAACCACCATGTTATTCACACACACACGTTTTGGTAGCCATTTGCACTTGTGTTCTTTAGGAAGACTTACAGAATTGCATAGTTCAAAATGAGTGCTTTTGGCCATTATAAACATTTGTGAGAAGAGCACAGAGAGCCCATTGTTTAAATTTGTGCTTAACAACAAATAAACGTAATGGAAATATTTTTATACATGGATTGTTGGAATAATCAAAAATAATAATGGGAAACCTGAACTTAGATAGTTTTCTTGACAGTTTGATTGCAATTTTGATTGCTGGACAGGTGAAATAATCAAAAACAGTGATAATTGGTAACACTAGTTGGTTATTTTTGTGATATTAATTGAATTAATCTTAATATTGATTTATCTGTTATGTGGCAACAACTGGTACTCATAGATAATTGAATAATTGAGTTAATCAACCAGCTCTAGTTGTTCAGAACAAAAGCTCTATTTGCTTAACTAAGTAAGCCAGATGCTTTTTGGTTTTCAATTTAATATAATACAAAATTAAGTTTGGTATTTTCCTTTTCAATAACTGGGCATAACTTTACTGTGCTACCAGACATGAGTATCTAACAGTTAATGAATTGGTCTACAGGAACAGTCCTCCAGTTCACTTTTAGCAGTTATTATATATTGTGTATACCAATCATAACAGTAGAATAAATGTTAATATTTTCCTGTATGGAACTGTTGGGTACTTACACATTATTACCATTACACAGCTTGAAAAGTGATTATTAAGGCAATATGCTGATCCAAAATAAGATTTTTTTAGACCCAAATACAACTTAATTAGGAAGCCTGATAAATTACAGTGGAAGTTTGAAGTATCAGTATAGTAATTTATAATTTTTTCAAAATGCATGTATAAAACCTACAAAAATTAATTTACATACTCCTTGTGCAAAATTTGCAAGTATGACTTATGAGTGCAAAATAACTTCATAACTGTTCTCTATATATTTTTTTTATGTTTTATGTTTTAGGAAAAATAACTGAAATTTAAAAATTATATGTAAACAATAATAATAATAATATATATATATATATATACACACACACACACACACGTAATGTATAATAACTGCATTATTTTAAAAAATATTGGGATGCTAGTGTTAACACTGAAAAGAGTAAGACTTGTATTTTGTAAAGGCCAGTTTTATGCTATTCAATAAGGTAACGTAAGCTGCATTTGTTCTGTGTGATTTACAACTAGTGTGGTAAGACTGTTAGTCAAAATAAACCATAACAAAATAAATATAGAATTCACTACATAAAAACTGTTATTAGTTTTCCTTATGTTAAATATTGATAATAAGCATTAATGGATGATTAACCGTATGCTGCTCAGACAGGAACTATATCAGTATACCTTTTTGAGTAACAGTTTCTCAAAGTACCAATCTCTAACAATGCTATCCAGTTCTTTAACAATTTTAAACGTACATGATCCACATACAACTACAAAGTGTAATAGCACTTAGCTCATTATATTTAGCAACATGTCCCACTTCATGTTGTTTATAAGTAATGAACTTCCCTGTTCAGAGAAATAGCTGGATGTGCTTGTGTTAATACAACTCACCCATACTTTCTCACTTTAGTCAGCAGTTCAAACTTAGTAACAGTGGCAAGTTGCCTTACTAGCTCTGCCATAACAAAGACAGAGCAAGAAAGTATAATGTAATTTTTTTTTATTCTTGGATAATTGGAATAAGTGAAAATAGTAACAATCAGAAGCCACAATTCTGATTAATCAATTATTTTTATCAAAATAAATATAAATAATAACTTCAATTAATCTATTGTTGGAATAACTGACAACAGTAATAATCAGAATTACTAATATTTGATTATTTTCTTCATGATCATTATAATCACAGGCAGTAATTAGAGACACTAATTTTGAGTAACCAATTTAATTGCAATTTCAACGAATAAATTAGTTTATGCAATAATAATTCATGTAATCACTACTTACAGGTGCTAGATTACAAATTAAATCTCACAGCTCTAGAAAAAAATAAGTATATTCTGTTGTTCATTCTAAAATTCTTGCAAAAAACAAATATTTTATTTACAAGCGTGCACTATTATCGATCTACTTTGTGGAATAGTTCAACTGTAACGTCTTTAAAATGAACTTAAAATGCACAGTGTTTTGCAGATAGTGAACTAGCTGGATACATTGTTTTGTTTATGGAAAGTATGAGAAATTTGGGGAATTTTGGGATAATACTAACTTATTAAAATTTGTTGCCTGCAGAAAGTCTGTTCAAAATTCGAGATCTATTTTACATTTCAAACATATAAAAAAAAAGTAAAATCTTTGACATTACATATTTTGCTACAAGAAAAATGTTTAAAATAAGTAATCCATCTAGTGAGCTCTGTTACTGATTTTTTTAACATTACTGTTGGTCATATTTCACGTATTCTTACATTTGTTTTTGGAAATAATTTTACTTTCAACAATGAAACAAGTATTCAATTAGATTAAATATGATGTACGTCTAAAGCTGAAGCTAGTTTTTTAAATATTTTATTGTTGATACTTTTAGGATGGTAAAGTTTATTAACTTTATATAAAGATTTGTTGTTTGAAAATTTCACAAAGTAAAATGTTTATTTTCATCAACAAATATTCAGTAGTTTCAGTACAGTGGTTTTGCATGGATAAACCCACAAAACACTATTTTCAGATTGTTATAGAGTTTGTGCTACCTTGCATTTATAACTTTTCGTGTACAACATAATGAGCAAACTAACGTACTTCTAAGTTATTGTACTGAAGACAGGATACCCTCTAGCTAATTCATACACTTTCACCACAAACTTTTAAGAGAAGTGTACATGTTAATTCTAAGTAGTTAACTGTAAATCAAAGAAAATCTTAGAATCAATATTTTGTCCCATTCTGACACTTATTTAGTGTAACTGATTAATAAAAAAGTTAATTTCTGCACAACTGTAAACAAAACAACCTATTTTTGTCACCATCTCAAAACTTCCTACAAAGGCCA